TATTTATAAAAATACAACACCAAATGCTGGATATCTTTTAGACTTATAAGCTAAAGCAATGAATTTATTCTCCCTGTGAAAAGATTGTTAAGTGTACATTTGACTCACTACAAAGAAATGACTCATTTGATTAATTCTCTCCAGATTCTCACTGTTAGACATTTCAAAGGGTTTTTACAGTAACTTACTGGCAACACTGTTGCCAGTAAGTTACTGTATTTGAGATTAACAGTATACAACCGTAAATCCATTTACAGCATGTTACCGTAGTGTCTGAAAATGGTTAACTACTGTAAAAACCTAAGTAAACAGTTAGCTACTGTAAACCTTTTAATTTTGTCTTAAATATTTTATGATATAATTTTATTAATATTATTTTAATACTATTGACATAAAAAGACACAATTACAATATATTAACAAAATAAACACTTTATTTAAAACATTGGAGATGCTTTAAAACATTTAAGAAAAATGTGTAAAAACATTACATCTCAATCATTCAAAATATTTTATTTTAAGAAAAAAAAACATTGAAAACGACAAAGCACATGAACATACATGTACAAAACTAATTTAAGTGTCTGACCTGCATATTGTTGAGAGAAAAAAAAACCCAATTGTACTAAGTACTACTGACATTAAACCAGACACAATTACAAAATATTCCATTCTTTAAAACATTAATAATGCTTAAAGCATTTAAGGAAAAATGTGTGAAAATTAAATTAAGCATTAAAATCAACAGATTAAAAATAAATAAATTACACAAAGCACTAGAACATACATGTACATTAATAATTTAAACGTCTGAATTGCATATTTTTGGAAAAATAAATATTTGTAACTATTAGCCGACTCAGAAACAACCCAACTTTAAAATAATACTAATTCTGGTGTCAAATGCTCAACAAGGTCTGAATTCACATGTTCAAATGCAATACATCTTTAGTTCTATTGCACTTTTACACTGTAGATCAATGATGTCAAAGCAGCTTAACATAGAAGTTCTTGTAAATTGAAGCTGCTTCAGTCCAGTTTTTAGAATTGAAGCAGTAAATGTTACTGCTGAAAGTCCAAACACTGAAGAGCAAATCCACCGATCCACCAATCGAAGCCAAGTGAACGAGTGGCGACAGTGGCATGGAACAAACTTCACCAACTGACAAAAGTGTAGAATAAAAGCCCTTGAGTGAAACCAGGCTCAGTTGGGCAAGACCAGTTCTCCTCTAGCCAAACTTGTGCAAGGCCGCAGTATAGGCACCGGAGGCTTGAAAGGTCACCAGCGGGTGGTCAGGCTGGCCCATTGGATCAATGCGAAAACTCATTGATCACGTGTGTCTTTCAGGAATCACTCCTCCATGACCACCACAGCATCTGGTCAGGATTTGGCCCAGTCCAGGATTATGAAGAACAGGATAAGGAGAAACAGACTAACATGAGCATAGAAGAAGCTTGTTTAAAAAAAATAAATCATATACTGGTTAATTATTTTGAAGCATGGCAGCTAGGTTGGGCTAGTTTTCAGCTGGTACTGAGCAACTGGCTCCTGCTCAAAACCTGCTCACTACCATGTTTAAAAGAGATCTAACCAGAATGTCCTGTTTATTTTTTTCCCCAACAAGGTTTTACAAAAACATTGTAGCATTTGTGATGGATAAACAGGGCTCGAAATTAACTTTCTTACTTGGTAGCACCGGTGCTCCCAACCTGAAATATTTAGGAGCACCAGAAAAAAATTAGGAGCACCAGAAAAAAATTAGGAGCATCCACCAAAAATGAATGATATATTTGACAAGTTGTGTATTAAGGGATTTATTGTATTTGAAAACAACATCAATTGGGACTAACAAAACCCAGAAACAACTCTCTAACTAATGCTGTGATGACTTAATATTTGTGCAATAATTCCAAAATGAATGTTGAATAATTATAAAATATTATTGATGATGATGATGACAATACTACTAATAATGAATAATATTTCTCATCATCATGCTGCCTTGAATGTGCTTTAATGCAAGTTATCTGCTATATAAAGTCCTACTGTTAATTTATGAAAAATAAATTGATGGTTTGCATCAAACACAAATGAAGCATTGTAGTAAGAAATATTTATTTTGTACTATTGTTTTTAAATGCTTGCCAATTTAATAAATAATATTTCTGCTACAAAACAAACGAAATAATATAATAAATCGTTCAATCCAATGCTGAAAGCTGCAAAGCAGTCATCAGTAATTAAATAGAAAAATAATATACACCTCAAGAAAGAACAGACAAAAGAAAGAAAGAAAAGTCTCACTTTTAAAAAAGTTTTGGTTTCGGTTCGTGTCGTTTTAATGGCTCAGCCTCGTTATGCGCTGAATTACATTTTTCTGTGTTTGCGGGAAAGCATGCGAGTCAGCCGGCCCAATAAGAGGGGGGCAGAGCAGGATTCCCCCGATGCCCACCGGCGCAATACTGTTCTCTGTTATAAGCCGCATCAGATCAAACTCAGTAAAGGCGAGCTTCTTTGGCGATGGTGTTGTAGCGGACATTTGCGCTGTTGCGGCCTGCTCACGAGGAAACGTATTAAAAAGTTATGAATTGCCGTGAGATTGTGTTGGCTGAACACGCAGTGCATGCAACGCATCGAGATTCAGTGTACTTTTCACTCTTCAGCCGTTTGCATTCCCCGCGGTCACAAAAGCTCCCTCCCTGTCATCTGACAGCAGAAAGTCTTGAGTGATTGACGGCTAATATGAACCAATATAGCGGCAGGGAAGAGCGAATTTACCACGTTTTTAGAAAAAAACAAAAACAAAAACAGGTCGCACTACAACCATAATATGCAGTCGCACGAATGCTCCCAATATATATTATGAGTCGCATAGCTTAAATTTCGGGCGCATATGCGACTAAAATGGTCGCAATTTCGAGCCCTGATAAACTAAAACAGACTGAATACTGACACAACTATTGAGAGTGTCTCACCTAATCCAAGTTCTCAGTTAGCTGGTTGAAGAAGGATAACACACTGTTGTTCATGGTTGTCATTCTCTACATTACTTCTCCTGCCTTCTTCTGGCTCATTCTGGTTGTTGCTGTGCATTTTGTTTCATCCTCTGGAATTATTTATACAAAAAAAAAATTTAGGCAACATGAAATGGGGAAAAAGACTTTTAATACATAGACAAATGCATGTATCCCAATACTAATTATTGTATTACGAAATGTCTGACCCATGACAGACCTCAATCTGCTCAAAAATATTATAAACAAAGATGAAAAAAAACCTACTAAATGATTTATTAAAAAGGGAAACAAATCTTTTATTTAGCTAGCAACTAAACATGTGACACATTTTGTATTAAAAGTAACATTACTATATTGAGAAACAAATAAATGTACAGTACTTACTGTTGTATGAGGTCCAGTTTGCACAGGCAGGCTCCCAGTATTCTATATTAAAACCATAAAAAAGCCAAAAATACAGATAAGAATACCATGCTACAATCCACAACCTCCACACAACTTTTTTTATTAGTTTACCTTGGTTGCTTACTGGTCTTGCTTATTTTTAAGCATAAGGCTGTGCTGATCAAGATGTTCCTCCGAAATGCTGTTTTCTTCTTCAGCCAAAACCTGCTGTTGTGCTAGTGCCATATCGAAACAGAAAAAAATATAATGGTAACAATTATGTTAAACCAAATGTCAAGAGTTGTGATTAAAAAAAATAGCAAACAATAAATAGCAAAAAGGTGGTTATTAGCATAATGTATAGAGGTAAAGTTGGTTTTATATTAGCAGATTCAGACTTCCCCCTTAATAATATAATTTCATAAAAGTATTATTTGCAAACTCTAAATAGCGAAATCATATTAGCAGCCAATGACTATCAAAGTACAACATGCTCACGGTCAAATAAACAGTGTTAATGGTGATTTCAAGTCATACTGGCATGCTAATTCTGATCGAATATTCAAAGTAACTTGGTAAACAGTATAGATACTTCTAAATGAACGAATGTGCGAATATAAAACCAACTTTACCTCTATGCTTATTGTATAGCTTTACGTTAACGTTATTATAGGTTACGTCGCGATGTTATTTTCTCAAACTAACGATATAAGTTACTCTAAACCAGAGAAAAATAAGTTCACAACAGCTAATATATATATAGTATAAATCAATATAAGTTAAACGGTGCACGTTAAAATGAGTTTGAGTCCAATTCGGTGTAAACTTAGCTCAGTTTAGCTAACAGTTAACGTTACCATTTTAAGATCGCTTCATTCAATGTCGCCAGGCAAACAAATGCTAACCAAGTTATAGAGGTGCTCAAATCAATGTCGAGTGTTGTCAGCACAGACAGACGCGCTTTTACCTGGATTATTTGTTGGTCTTTCATTCATATTCTTCTGGGGGAAAATACTCTCTGCCGGACCGTTGTCTCGTGCTAAGTGTCCTCCAAAACTGTCTGCATACCTCTGGTTCCCTCCTAAACCAAAACCCGCTGCAACACCGGTTCCTATGTAAATAAATAAAAATATATGACGAGAACACTGACTAATGGCCATAAACAGTCTTATTTAAAGTAATAGTAGTGTTAATGTAATAAACTAAATGAAGGAAAAAACTCTTAATAGATGATATATTTCTCAAATGGGCAAAATAACTCCAAGCCAGAGAAAATAATATTAGCCAACTTTATACATTACTTTGTTCTATTCTCGTCCACAAAACATTCTGTAAAATGAAACACTGCCTCAGCTCACCAGAGTAAAGTTTGTTAAATCCAGCATGTTCGTCAGGCACGCTAATAAATTGTCCTCCAGAATTGCTCCAGGGTCCTCAGGCAAAATGTGGTGCAGAGTAGTCGAATTGCCGCAAGGTGGCGTCGAAGCAATTGTGGAAAATACAGTAGAATACACAAATTTTTACAAATACAGTACATCGCTGTATATGTTGTTCGACGTCACACTAAATTCCCATAATGCAACGGTAAATACAGTTATTTACTGTAAAAGGAATTTGCAGTATTATACTGGGTGAAATACAGTAAATAACTGTGTAGTTTACAGAAATGTCTAACAGTGCTGATTGCGAGTTGCAAGCTGTTTGAAATCACTTCTGAGCTGTTAGAGAATAAGTATACAAATATGGTCTTTTTTACAGTATATTAACTTGGTTATGTTAGTGATGTTACTGTGCAGTGTCAAAATATTTCATTATTTTTCAATAAAATGCAAAGGGCTAAAATATGTTTTGTATTTTTATATGCACTCTGTTATGATCCCAAGCAGTGTTGTCCTCGCAGGCTGCTGGAGAGCACTCCCTGTCATTCAACTGAACTACATATCCCATCATATATTGCACTCACACACTAGTTCAAAATTACTTCTTGATTACACACAGCTGAGGCTTATCATTGCTGATTATGTGGACTACAGTTATACACCACACATACTGATAACATTTACATTGTTTTGCTATCTGCCTTGACCTTTTTGCATGTTTCAATGACCACTCTTTTGGATTACTTTTATGCTTCAGTTTTCTCCTGTTTTTGCCTTGTCAGTCTGTCTAGTCTTAATTAAACTACATTTTAATCCACACCTCTGTTGCCTAAGCCAGTCATCGTTTATCAATTTTATCACGTTAACTAAATGGATGGCTAGCATGCATTAAGAAGGCTACAATCCAATATCAGTATTTAATAAGTATTATGATTTTCATGCTCTTTCTATAGTCTGAGGCTGCTTTAAAATGGCACAAATAGGTATTCTGTCAGCTACATATTAAAGCTTACTTCATTTAATGAAAATCCATAAAGTAATAATAACACATGCAAACATTTTCCTCAAATTCCCATCATGTCACCATTCTCAAAAAAAAAATATGTGTCTCAGCTGTATTTAGGTCATTTAGCCGCAGAGCTCAACAGTATTGAGAGAGGCTAATCAGTAAGCTTTTAAGATGGTGAAACTTTGCTACATTGACCCGGTCAGCAACACAGCTGCCGCAGCAGGAGCTCGTCCCCTACCGTTGCGCATCTCTGGCCTCACAGAGCTTCAGGTCCAAGCAGATAATGGACGTTTCAAGTCCCACGACTGAAGCTTCTTCAATGGAGCCTAGTACTAAGCTTTTCTGCTGCAGGTCCGTGAGACGCTGCATCCCTCTGGTTTACAGACAGGAGCTCTACCACATCTTGTGCATGACCGGACCTTTGGTATGGCCTCAATTTTCCTTCTTTCAGTTATAATGTTTGCAGATCAAATTAAATATAGTGATAAATTATGAATGTATTTTTCATTGTATTAGCATAAAAGAAACCTTTAAAAGTTTTACATTTACAGTTATCTCAGGAGGCAAAGAATAAATCTGCAAACCAGGAAAAAAAAAAAGCAAGGATATGACATTATTTCTTCCGTATGGCTCAGCGTGCTCATATACTTCTCATCTTCTGGTTTGTCATTCCAGGTTGCATCGCGCATTCTGAATTATCTCCTGCCATTTGTCATAACAATGTTTTGCGGCCGCCTGGGAAACAGTGTGCTGGCTGGTTATGGAATGGCCTCAGCTGTGAGTTGATGTTTTAGTCTGTTTATTTGTTCCTCTGGAGTGTCGCATAGTTTTTTTCCCTTTGTAGTAAAAGAGAAACATTGGTTTATGAAATGCAAATGTTGGCACAGCATTGTAACATTCAGCCTTCAGAGGTTTCGTAAGCCGTTTGGTTGTGAAGCCGGTGTGTTGAAGTAGTTCAGAGCGTGGCTGAGAAGTAGCTGATGCTTGTTATTCTGATTTACCAGACGATAAACATAACAACTGCAGCTACAGGTGGAGGTCTTGCACTGGCGGCTGACACGCTCATCTCTCAGGTATGAAAATATGAATGTGTATGCAGTGCTGTATACAGTAGCCAACATTGGATGTGGATCACAAATAGTTTTTCAAAATTGTCCTAAGACAAGAACAGGTGTCGCTCAATAGTTATAGGACAGCTTTGATGGAAGGTTTTTGATCCTCTTCAGATGTTGACTACTGTATAACAGTCCTAAGAGCTGCTATTCAAAATGTCATTTAATCATGAATCTTTAAAATTTATACATACAGACACTCTGATCCATATTAAATTGGGTAACTGTAATACAATTAAGTAACACTTTAATTGAAGGAATGTTCATAAGTCTGTCATGAAATATTAATAATCCTGACATTACATGTCATGAATATGAATGACATTTTATGCATGCTTATGACAAGTGTCATTAAGTGTCATTCACTTGGTTATGTCAATTTAAATGTAAAGGTAACTTTGCTTGAGATGACTTTGTAATGACAGCTTGACGTAAACAAATACATCAAAAACTGTCCTTGTCTTTGTCATGACAACTTGACCTCAACATAACTTGTCATAAACATGACTGTAATAAGGCCATTATAATTGTGAATGTTATTGTAGCATCATTAATATATTCTTAACCTCAACTACAGTAGTGCAAATTAAATAACACTTTATTTTGATGATCCATTTGAGCATTAGTAGACTGCATGCTTACCTAATGTTGATTCAACAGACATTTAACTGACTATAAGAAATTTTGCAACTGCAAGTACATGTCAATTTACACTAATCCTAACCCAATCCCAATGGTCGACTTTTAATCTAATGAGAATTAGTTGCAATGTAACTTAAATTCAACAAACGGACCATCAAAATAAAGTGTGACCTACAGTAAATGTAGTAAATTTTCACTGGGGCTCTTAAACCTCACTGGATTCTGAATTTGGATTCAGATGAGACATTTCAGGAATTCAGTATCAATTTTACTGGCTTGTGTTTGTGTCAGACCTTCGGTGGGAAGAACCTGCGTCGTGTTGGCATCATCTTACAGAGAAGCGTACTGATCCTTCTGCTCTTCTGTTTGCCATGTTGCGCTCTGCTTATCAACACACAACCCATCCTTCTGCTGCTCAGACAAGACCCAGAGGTGGCCAGGTGATTCATGCCAAAATAAACAGACAAATCAAATCAAATGCCATGTGTTCGGTACAGTATTTAATTACTGTTTATTAATGGTACATGTTAATTAAAATGTTACATGTTAATTAAAAAATTTACATATATTTCTATTTTATGTAAAAATTCTAAATAATTATTTTTAAACAAAATATTTTCCTATTATTAGGTTCTCTCTGACAATGTGCTTTCTTGGATAAAAAAAAAACTGTATTGTGTAATATTTAATTATTATGTCAGAACTACAATATAAAAACTTCAAAATGCAATCTCACAATTTTTACTTACAAATAAATACACAATTAAGTTAAATAAAGACACATTCCTGTGAAAATAATATAGGAATTGCAAGATACTAAAAAAAATGTTGTTGCAACTGTAAAAAGGAAGTGTTCATGCTGCCTTCAAATTTTACAGTTACTTCACTTAAATAGTAAAGTTGTCTTAACTCAGGTTAAAGTTGACAGGACTTGACAATACAAGTAATGGGCATGGTCTATGTTTAGTAAACTTTACATATATAAGTTGTTGTAAGTACGAATGATGTTGATAGTACTTTATAATTCAAGTACAATGGACATGGTTTAAGTCTAGTGAATTAAAAAATTTAAAATATTCCCAAATGCACAAAACAAAAACGCCTAAAAACGATTAGGTACACACTTGGTTTTTGTTAAATATTTGGCATAAAATGCACATTCAAAACATCCCAAACCCATCCCAATTAAGTTCAGCCAAGTAATATATAAGTTATGTCAACACATTCAATCCAGGTGAGTTAACATAACTAAAAACATTAAGTTGTCAAAACTAATTGGCCCAAAAATTGTTTACAGTGTATGTGAACTCAGAACTATTCAGAAATTCAGAATTTAGAATTGCAAGAAAAAGTCATAATCGTGAAAAATTTTGTAAACTGTAAAGTAAATTAAATTGCCAAAAATAAATGCACAAAAGTCAGAAATGTGGAATATAAACTTACAATTCCAAAATTATAATTTGGTGATTATACCTTTTGATTCTTAAAAAAATAACCCAATTTATTTAAAAGAAAAGCCAACGATCCAAATGATACCAAACGATCAACTAGAAGTCAAGTTGTTACTAACACTTGGATAGGAAACGAGACTTTTGTCAAGTAGGGTATGTGTGATGAGATGTATAAGAGATTCTCTTTTCTTCTTTTAACTCAAACAAAATGCATTGATTTTATGCTGAAAAAGAGGAGATAGAGAATATCTCTATTTAGAATATATATAAAGAAAAGGTATTTTGTTTTAAAGGTGTTTAGATACCATTAAAAATAACCAGACAAAAATCTCTTATTAAAACAGTGGCTAAAGGTCATGACTGACCATTAAAATGCTGCAGTTTCAAACTTTGCAAGTGAGTCATAGCCTGTCAGCTCTTATAAACAACTGATAAAAAGCTTATGCTGAATGTTGTTTACTCTTTTACTATGAATAAATCATTTGGACTAGAACAAAAAAGAGCAATCTTTATTCATGCCAGTGTAAAGTTATAGACCTCAAGGTTTTGAGAAAACAAGAAAGCGTCTGTCATCCATATCTCTAGCAAACATACTTTGCAACTTCCCTTCCTAAATAAATGTTGACGATGTTGTTAAATGAGCCATTTTAATGTGCACAGACACACGTTCTAATACTCAATTTAGATGCAAGCCAAGATGGAAATGACACAGCGCACCAGATTTATTCTGCAGCATGATAAGTCGCAGCTTTCCTTTTAAAATCATTCATGCTGCCTTGTCCTCTCTATATCACAGTAACAAATGTGCTCCCTTTCAGAATAGCTCAACTCTATGTGGTCTGTTACCTGCCAGCAGTCCCAGTGAGTCATAAAATATAACATCATATTCCTCCTGCCAGTGCAGACGCATAATTTGCATTGCATAGCTTGAATTATGATACATGTATATATATATGCACCCTACAGTCAAGCAATAGTTTTCCTCTTTCTCTTCACACAGGCAATGTTTTTGCATCAGCTGCAAGTAGCCTATCTCCAAAACCAGGTATGCAATCTTTTTTTTTTCCAGATAAGTGCAGATAAGCACCTTAGCAGAGCTCTTCAAAATCACTGTTGCATGCAGGATCTCGAGACCCGCAGAGCAGTATACTTATCACAGGCAGTCTCCAACTGTTACATTATGATCTGTACTGGCCGAGAACATCTTTCTATATGATAAAGTGTGGTTTATTTGAAAGTGTAGCCTCATGTATGTGTCATTCTATGTAATGTGTGACTACAGTTCGAAGGATACATTAACATGGGGCTGTTTTGGGCCTGCAGGGCGTGATTCTGCCTCAGATGTATGCAGGCATCGCAGCCAACGTTGCTAATGTGCTGACAAATTACATCCTCCTTCACTGGTTGGAGCTTGGGGTATAGTAAGTCTGTAATCCATGTCACTATACTCATTTACACATTTTAGAGTTGTATTAGTTATTTGGGAAGCGGTTAGTTGGGCAAATTGTACACCAAATCTTATTTACCTACAAATCATTACTTGAGTGATGGTGGTGCTTCAGCTTTAAGTGTCTTATGACAATTCGATGATTAGTTGTACCATGCATGGTAAAATAAAAAGGTCCATATTTGTAAAACTGCCTTTCGTGGCCGATGCCTGTACTGTCGACATGGGAAATATGAAATCCTATTTACTGTTATCTCTTCAGTTATGCTACAAGTTCTATTAGATTGACTTTTCACCCAGCCTGTGCAGTAATTGTTTTCCTGGCATTTGTTTTTCAGTGGATCTGCTGCTGCCAATACCATATCTCAGATCTATATTTGTGCTTTCCTCTATTTATATATTCGCTGGAAGAAGCTCCATGTTGAAACATGGGGAGGTGAGTTCCCCAGCTTAAACTAACCAATAAACCACACTAGCTTCCTTTAACGCTCCATAAAATACAACTGTTGCACGCTGCATAAAATTCAGCTGAAGTGTCTCATCTTTAGCTGTGATTTCTTTCTCTGCCCACCACAGGCTGGTCATGCGACTCATTGCAGGAGTGGGATGGATACATGAAACTGGCCATCCCCAGTACCATGATGCTGTGCTTCGAGTGGTGGATTTATGAGGTTGGAGGGTTCCTAGCAGGTGCTTTCAAAAGAGCTTAAGCCAAAAAGAAACACTGACAGTAGTATATAATTCAATTAGACATTTTAGTATACTTAGTCTTGAAGATTGTTCTCCAATTAAAAATGTTTGTTTGGATGCAGTGCTTAAAAATGTTTCAGGCTATTAACTATAGCCTCAGATGATTTGTCATGCATGATTGCACCAGGAAAATAGAAAAGTAAATGTAATGTTATAATACTGTCAGACGTATTCCCTTATGTCCGTCTCATTCAGGCATGCTGGGAGAGTTGGATCTGGCAGCTCAACACGCAGTCATTATGCTGGCTTTTATCAACTACATGGTAATTTAGACCCCAGTATTTCACCAATTATAAAGTTCCTGAAGCAAACATAACAGATGCTTCAGTTTTCCCCACAATTTCCATTTTCAGAAATGATTTAATTGAAACAGAGCCAAATAAACAAGTACTGTATATGAAAATACGACAATTAGAAAACAGCTAGGGTTACACATCAAGTGGAGATTAAAATTAGTGAACAATTATTGATAACTTTGAATATTTTTTACCAGAAATAATGTAGCATTCATTCTTTTTTTCATTTTTGAGTTTAGTCATGGCTGCAAAACATGTTAGTAGTATATTGTTTTACAAACAACCAATGAACATAAATGTATAACTTTATTTTGTGGAAAACACAGTGACTGTAGAATGAAGAAAAGTGACTGCAAAATTAAAACTTCAGTAGCAGCAGTCAAAATTAGTATTAAAGCAAGACCAGTTTGACAATGGATGTTTATTTATTATTTATATCATTAATGTATAGGGCAACATGGTGGCTCAGTGGTTAGCACTGCAAGAAGGTCGCTGGTTCAAGTCCAGGCTGGGTCAGTTAGCATTTCTGTGTGGAGTTTGCATGTTCTCCCTGTGTTTGTGTGGGTTTCCTCTGGGTGCTTTGGTTGGTGTGTATGAGTGTGTATGGGTGTTTCCTAGTACTAGGTTGCAGCTGGAAGGCCATGCACTCTGTTAAACATAGGCTGCACAAATTGGCAGTTCATTCCGCTGTGGCAACCTCTGATGAATAAAGGGACTAAGCCGAAGGAAAATGAATGAAAGAATGTTTTCCATTGGACCAAGGTCATTTATATTAATCTTTTATGACTTGACTTGTGAAAGTGAACTTTTGTGAAAGTCAGGGAATATGTCGTTAGATAAAGACAACAAGATGAATGAAATATCACGTTTAATAAATATAGTGAGATTAGATCCAGCGGGAGATGCTTGATGAGAAGTCCGACTAGCAGAGCTCTCATCTGGGTAGATGGGCTCCAGCGATTGCCAAAGTGTGTGTGTGTGTGGTCACGTGATGTGCGTTTTCAGCGTTTTGGTGTGGACGGAGAGCAGTTCAGAAACGCTGGGTAAAACGCGAGTGTGGACGCGGATCGTTTTCATTCTAAAACGCCGTTTTAAAACTAATACGCACTAGTGTAAACGGGGCCTCAGTCCACACAGCATGCTCCTCAGTAAAGGTTAATCTGACCTTTTGGTTCTATCCGCTGATGAGAGGTTTGGTCACTGTGGGCTTTGAGTACCAATTTCCTAAACATTGAGATCCTTACTCCGTTCAGAGCTACAGTACATCCAGAAAGTATTCATAGCACTTTACTTTTTCCACATTTTTTAAAGTTACAACCTTATTCCAAAACGAATTAAATTTCATTTCCTCAACATTCTATACACAATACCCCATAATGACAATGTGAAAAATTTTGAATTGTTGCAAATTTATTAAAAACACAAAACCAGAAAAATCACATGTAGATAATATTCACGTTCTTTGCTCAATACTTTATTGATGCACGTTTGGCAGCAATTACAGCCTCAAGTCTTTTTGAATATGATGCCACAAGCTTGGCACAAGTGTCTTTGGTAATTTTTGCCCATTCCTCTTTGCATTACCTCTCAAGCTCTATCAGGCTGGATGGGAAGCGATGATGTGCAGCTATTTTTTAGATGTCTCCAGAGATGTTCACTAGGATTTAGGTCTGCGTTCTGGCTGGGCCAGTCAAGGACATTCACCAAGTTGTTGTGAAGCCACTCTCAGTCTGAGGTCAACAGCCCTCTGAAGCAGGTTTTCATTCAGGATGTCACTGTACATTGCTGCATTCATCTTTCCTTCTATCCTGACTAGTCTTCCAGTTCCTGCTGCTGAAAAACATCCCCACAGCATAATACTGCCACCACTATGCTTTACTGTAGGGATGGTATTAGCCTGGTAATGAGCAGTGCTTGGTTTTCTCCAAATGTAACGCCTTTCATTCATTCCAAAGAGTTCAATTTTAGTCTCATCGGACCAGGGAATTTTGTTTCTTATGGTCTGAAAGTCCTTCAGATGCCTTTTGGCAAATTTCAGGCGGGGAGTGTTTTCCGTCTGGCCACTCTACCATACAGGCCTATATGGTGGATTGCTGAAGAACGCTGGAGCTCAGACAGAGTTACCATCAGGTTATTGATCACCTCCCTGACTTCTCCCCTATCACTCAGCTTAGATAGACGGCACTAGGAAGAGTCCTGGTGGTTCCAAAAATCTTCCACTTATGGATGATGGAGGCCACTGTGCTCATTGGAACTTTCAGAGCAGCCGAAATTTTTCTGTAACCTTCCCCAGCCTTATGCCTTGAGATAATCCTGTCTCGGAGGTCTACAGACAGTTCTTTTGTCTTCATGCTCGGTTTGTGCTTTGACATCCACTGTCAACCCTGAGACCTCATATAAGCCCCTTTCACACATACAGACCTTTCCGGAAAATTACCGGCAATTTTCCGGAAAGGTTGTATGTGTGAACAGGCCCTTTTTGAAAATACCGGTAAATTCGTTCTGGCTATTTTCCGGAAAGAGAAGTTGTAACATTACCGGCAATTTGCCGGAATGCTGCGCTGTGTGAATGCAGAAGGAAGATTTCCGGAATAAGCTCGTGCACGTCTAGAACGTGCTGACGTAAGACTTCTGCTTTAGCCAATCACAACAGTCAGACGCATTTACGTCCGCGCGGTTTGTGAGAATAAAAGCCTTTGAATATTTTTCCAGACACATTTAGCTGCTAGAAGTTAGTCAGATCACGTTTATATGTTCTTCTTAATGTGCAACTGTGCAAATAATCATCGATAAGATGCTTATGATAAGCCGTTGTTTGTTTACCTTCAAGCTTTGCGTGTGCCCATGAAACAGCCTGTGAGCGTCAGCACACGCACATATTATGAACATCTCGACATGCGAATATGATCCAGTGAAAGTTGTTTACAATATTGATCATCAAAAGAGTTTGTAATTTAGTCAAATGTTTACAAACACAAGCGCAGCCGTTTAAAGCTCATTTGTGGTGAATGATGTCAGAATTTACCGGTATTTTGGAATGGATGTGTGAATGCTCTTTTCCGGAAAATTTCCGTAACGTCCTGGCCTGTGTGAACAGCGCTTTTTTGAATATACCGGTAAAGTCGTTCCGGAAATTTTCCATATATTTACCGGTATCACTGTGTGAAAGGGGCTATAGACAGGTGTATGCCTTTTCAAATCATATCCAATCAACTGAATTCAAATCTCAAGAATGATCAGTGCAAACAGAATGTACCTGAGCTCAATTTAGAGCTTCACAGCAAAGGCTGTGAATACTTGCGTACCTTATGTTCAGGTTTTTTTATATTTAATAAATTTTTTCACATTGTTATTATGGGGTTTTGCGTGTGGAAATTTGAGCAAATAATTGAATTTAATTTGTTCTGGAATAAGGCTGTAGCATTAAAAAAAAAAAAGTGAAGTGCTATGAATACTTTCCGGATACACTTTAAATTGATAAACCTTTACGGCGGACACAACATGTCGTTAAAACGGCTAGTTTATTTAGCAAGAATGTATTTCCATTTTCCATTTACTCAAGAATCCCAACAAAATACCTCAGTCTTTCAGCACAAACAACAAACATAAAAAACACATCTTTCATGATCTAACACTTTGAACAGCAGTGCTCTTTCATACCATGTTTTTTTTTTTTTTTTTCTGGGATGCCAGTTTCCATTAGGGATTCAAGGAGCGGCTTGTGTCCGTGTGGGTAATGCTCTCGGAGCTGGAGACACGGCCGGAGCGATCCGCACCAGCAAGGTTTCCCTCACCTGCACAGGTTTACAAACACTTCTATTCCTTTGAGGCGCATTCATCTTTCATTGTCTGCTTGTGTCTGACATGTCTTTCTTCTTTCACTTTATCATCTGGATGCAGCTGCCTTGGCTGTTTTGCAAGGTCTTGTGCTCGTATCAACAAAAACTGTCATTGGTTTCTTATTTACATCAGACAGGTATTTCTCTTTTTTATTGTTTATCATGTCATACTTGCAGTAGAGAATGTTTTTTAAGTAATGAACAGATGATGACTGGGTCTTATTTTACAGACATATTGTGGCTCTTGTCTCCAAACTCTTGAATGTCTACTGTGTGCTGCAGTTCTTTGATGGTCTTGTTGTGAGTAATCTCCATTGTGATTACTTTTTTTCTGAAAAAATTCACTGCAAAAAAACTTACTTGTAAAAAAAATTAATAAATAAAAAGCAGTGTTCAGCTTATATCTCTTTTTAACCCTTTCCTTCACAAGCTATATAATTGATATAGAAGAAATAAACTTAGACGGGTCACTTTAGAGCCATGTAGTGCATCAAAGAGTTAAGCATATGCAGTACTGTATGTAGCCTGAAGATGGATATGATAGATGAAGACCACTAAAATGTCATTCAAGTTGACAATTGTTTATAAAGAAAAAATCTTGCCAGGCATGTTTAGAACAAGAACCATTTGATGGCACATTAAAACATACTTAATGGAATAGTGGCATATAAGATGCATCAAACATCTTTATGTGCAATAAATTACTCAATCATTCATCAATCATTTAGCAATGAAACATCAAAATATATACAGCCAGGGAAATAAGTATTGAAACATATTTCTAAAGGTGTCATTGACTTGAAATTTTCACCAGATGTTGATAACAACCAAAGAGTTACATATACTGTATGAAAAGAAAACAAATCTAATGAGTTTACAAGTAAAGTTATGCATAATAAAATAAAATGACACAGTGAAAAAAGTATTGAACACATGAAGAAAAGGAGGTGTAAAAAGGCAGTGAAAGCCCAGCCAGCAGCTGAAATCTCTCAGAAGTTATTCAGCCACCCTCTGCTCTTCGTCGCTGTAAATTAATATTAGCTGCTTCAGTTTACATTAGCAGGAGGATGAAAATGAAGCCTAGGTGGACAGACACATGTGAGCAATGCACTTAAAAATGACATTTTTATTAAAATGACATTTTATTATTGAAAGAAAAACATTTTATAGCTTTTGCACATTGTTTCTCCTTGGGCAAGTGGATCTATACTCATGTGATAATGTCATTGTGTAGCTCAAAGGAAAAACAATAAAAAAATTTATAGTGATAAACCATCTGTAATGCATAAATATGAATGTCTTCTGTTTTTTCTGTCTTCAGTGTGTCAGCATGGGTATTTTGTTGGGCTCGGGGCAGCAGAAGATCGCAGCTGTTGCCAATTTCTTTGGGTATTACTGCATTGGACTTCCACTTGGCACTTCTCTCATGTTTGCTGCAAAATTAGACGTTGTTGGTTTGTGTTCCTTCCTCTTATTTACAATTCAAATACATTGTCACATATTGTACTCATTGCTATTCTGTGACCTAGTCACCTTCTCCGGTCACTTGCTTTATAAATCAAATTTTCATTGGGTTGAAGCACGTAGAGAACATCAGTGAACGCAGTGCTGGTCCCTGCAGAATTGCATTAATGCATCTCGAGTGCAGAGAACGGCATTCATTAAAACATTCTGTAATGAGGGAACAGCTGTCCTTCAGCAATGACTTCTCTTGCTTTCACAGGCTTTTGGCTTGGACTTCTCATTTGTGTTTGTGTGCAGTCCAGTTTTTTCATTGGAGTCATTTTTAAGTTCAACTGGGAGAGAGTGACCAAAGAGGTAGGCTCGTTATAGTCCTCTTTTTATTTTGATTATTTTTTTTTTTGTTTTTAATTTCTTGCTTTACCTTGGTTTGTGTTTCTATTCAGATTTAGCAGACTCCATTCAAATGTTTCAAATGACTCCATTCATTGTGCAATTCTGAGTGTGCTTCACACAGGTGAGTGGGCTAGACAAACCACCTGTAGGACACACACTCTTTCCTCTCCTTTCCTTTGTGTATGCAACAGACACATTCTTTTGAACACTCTATTACAAGTGCTCAATACAAAAATGAACAAAAAAATAGAAGAGATCAGAAAAGAATAGAAAACAACCCAGGCTCATTCTGAAAATGTACGGCTATATACATTTCTGAAGCTAAACACATCCCAGCAGCAACATTTTTTTATTTTTATTTTTTGCAGTTATTGTTTTGGCGAATATATCAGAGGCCGCTGTGTACGCTTTTTCAGATATCAAATTTCTCTACCTAGTGCCATTTGTGCCTACTGTTCTCATGTAAATCCACCAGAGGCCGCTGTTGACTCACTGAATGACTGACTGACTGATCAACTGACTGACTGACCCACCTTCCACCTTCCCTAAACCCAACTAAACCCAACCAATAGTGTTTTCAAAAGCACTGATTGACCCTCCAACCCACTTCCCTAAACCCAACTGACAGATTTAAAAAAAAAAAAAAAAAAAAGCTTTCCAGAAAGAGAAAAGTCATCTGATTTTTACCACGTTTTCTGATTTTACCACATTCTGTTTCTGTAATTTACTTGTTTATTTTATTTTTTGGCGTCGGTTTTTATCTTACCTGATTTCTGAAACTATTCTTCGCCGGACTCAAATGGTCATGGTCAGCTCCTGTCAAGGTCTTAAGTCCACCAAAGTACATGGCAAACTAACTGGACAAACTGGGAACATCGGGTAAATCGTCCATATCGAGCTAAGCAGTCAGCTGGTAAGCGCGAAAAGGAACAGCGTCATACCACCCCCTAGCATTTTGTTTTAAAAATGAAATGCAGCCATTTAGCTCTGGCTACATAATTTGCGAACTCCAGCTACGTTTTCAGAATGAACCCATGTTGATAAAAACGTGTAGATCACCTTTAAAAGAAAAAAAAATGTATATATACATATAAATTTTTTATATATATATATTATATATATATTTTATATATTTATATATATATATTTATATATACATTATGAATATATATATATATATATATATATATATATATATATATATATATATATATATATATAAAATATATATATATATATATATATATATATATATATAAATATATAAAAAAAAAAAAAATATATATATATATATATATATATATATATATATATATATATATATATATATATATATATATATATATATATATAT